TTGGCTTTTCAAAATACCATGCAATATATTTTTTTATGATAGACAATACGGCTTTCGCCACCGAAGATCTACTGGAGATCTACTTGCCTACGTCACCCATATATGGCAAACTTCATTTGAAAAACACGGGGAATCTCTAGTTGTCGCGTTGGACATATCGAAAGCATTCGACCGTGTTTGACACGAAGGACTCCTCCACAAACTACCATCATACGGCTTACCACCTCAGCTATGCCATCTCTTATCAAGTTTTCTTTCAGGCAGATCGCTTCACTTGGTGGTGGACGGTGTATCGTCTGATATACCAATATCAATGATCTTTTGGGAGTAACAACTTGCCCCATCCACAGCTTTGCAGATGATAGTACCCTCCATACTGCATTCTCTTCCAAAATTCTCATTTCTTCCCAATGAAGACCTTGCTGAAATCACAGCCTGGGGAACCAACAACCTAGTTGAATTCAACGCCACCAAAACTCAAGCCTGTATTTTCTCTAGAAAGGCGGAACTCAGTATGCTTGATATTGTAATGTCTGGCACCACCATCCCCACCAAGCCCACCATATCATCTAATGGGATAATCATGTCAGATCCACCGCAAAAGCTGCTTCACAAAAACTCGGATTCTTGTTCCGTGCGAAGAGCTACTTCACACCTCAACAGCTTCTTATGATCTACAAGGCGCAAATACGGCCTGTTCTAGAATACTGTTTCCACATATGGGGTTCAGCACCAAAACATACGCTGATGCTCTTAGATTCCATCCAGAGAAGAGCCATTCGCCTGGTGGGTGACGCCACACGCACTCACTCTTTGACATCATTGAAACACCGTAGGAAGGTCGGCGACCTTTCACTTTTCTATCGATACTTCCACGGAAAATGTTCTTCGAAAATCTCTGCTATCATCCCTCTACTAGCAATACCAACCAGTAAGACGAACTAGACAAGCCCAGTCAACACATCCTTTCCTAGTCAACCTCGAAAGATGTCGAACAGCACTATATCAAAACTCCTTCATCCATAGAACGGCTAGGCTCTGGAATTCATTGCCTCAGGAAGTATTCCCAACAACATATAATCTCCAGAAGTTCAGAAAAGAATTCCAATACATACCTCCTGTCCCTATCCTCCCTAGGAACGCACGATGTTCTTTGAACATCATAGGGATTTCCTTTCGTGCGTTCCAAGCGATAAAAAATTTCAGGAACGTTTAGATGACTATGGCAATTTTTTATGTGAAGAAATAAATTTTGTGTGTGTGTGTGTGTAGATAACCTTCTGGAGTATACCAACGTTATTTTGGGACAAAGAACTTTCACACACTCGGTCTATACATTCATATCAACGTAGTGTCCAACTACGAATATTTTGATTTCAAATCGCTGTCAGGGATTTTTCAAACATATTCATTCAATTAATATTAGTTGAATTCTTTAGTATTACCTGTGAATTAACAATGATCAATTCATTCACAGGTTTCGCTTCATCCCACTCTGAGATGACGTGTCTTTCCTGCTTCGTTGGAGCCCATGTTACCACAGAAAAATAAGATACCTGTCAAGCGGAACTAGATCAGAGATTACTGACCTGGTAGAAATGGATTCAGCATATTTTGCTGCTGAAAAATGGCATGCTAATGAGAAAACCTTCAAATGCCATGTTTGCCACAAAAGTTTCATCAAAAAATATTCATTGAAGTCACATCTTGTCCTCCACACTGGTATCAAACCTTTCGAATGTGAAATGTGTCAAAAGAAATTTGGCAGTAATAATCAATTGATCAGACACATAAGAGTGCACACTGACGAGTTTCAATGTGACACATGTGAGAAACGATTTTCGGAAAAGAAAGGTTTGACTGAACACTATAGATCACACACTGGCGAGAGACCTTTTCAATGTGTTATTTGTGAAAAAAAATTCAACACCAAGAGTAATTGGTTGAAACACGTCAAGGTGCCCCATACTGGCGAGCCGACATTCAAATGTGACATTTGCCAGAAAAGGTTCGCAAATACGGCTCTGTTGACTGACCATAACAATTCGCACACAGTCGAATGTGATGTATGTCAAAAATCGGTGAACAGAAATTTCTTGGCATGTCACCGTATGCTTCACACTCTTCAGGAACCGCTCCAATGTATTTTTTGTGAGAAGATTTTCACTTATAAAAGTAGTTTGATCAGGCACATCAAACTGCACACTGGCGAGAAACCTTTCAAATGTGATTTATGCCAGCGGAGAATCACTAGTAGGAGTGATTTGACTAGATACATCGAAGTTTATAGTGGCTTGGAGCCTTTTCAATGTGATCACTGTATGGAAAGATGTAGATTGAAGAGTCAGTCGCATGATGTGGAAAGGGATTTAGTCGTGAAATCTTCTGCTGTTGAGGCTGATCCTACTGGACACCATTCTAAAGTACAAATAGGAACTTCTTTCCTCAACAAATTTGATGATGAAATGGAGGAAAAAGTGAAAGTAGAAGACACTAAGGACCCTCTTTTACCAGCAGACTCAACTTCTGAGGATGCATTTGTGAAAAGTGATTTCAAAATTGAAACAGATTATTGTGACCTAGAACTGCATTCAGACGATTCGGAACATATTGTTGAAATAGAGAAGAGTTCAGAAGAAGATGGTGATAATATTGAGACATTCCGATAATGCTTCTTTTTTTCATAAATCTATACAATAATAATGAGTACCTACGTACCTAAATACATTTTCGTCGTTTTATTGCCCCATTCCTCATCTGCTACCCGAGAGATTGATTTTCAATTCGTGGGGGTAGAAGAATCAAAGTTATCCGAAGGATTGTTCTAGTTATGTACACTCAGATGCAAAAAAACGCAAAAGTCAATATTCGGTCAAATTTAAAGTCTCATAACTTTTTTATTTTTGGTTCGATTTCCATAATTTTCCAACAAACTGTAGATAAAAAGACTGTTTTGAACAACTTGTATATCTAGTCTTTTGTTAAATGCTGGCGGTTTAGTCATTATACAGGATTAATTGAAAGGTTGTTGTGCAACCCTAATTTCAAAACACCCTGTGGAATAATTTCGTAACCAAGTTCTTTCAGAATACCATTTTTTGTTAGGAACCATTCCTTCTTTACATTTTGATTTTTGATCCATGTCTTTGAAAGCACTTATTCATTTTCAAGAGCGAAATTAACCTGTCACAACAGTTTACTCTAAGAAATGTTATTTTTTGATGAGGTGGCTTCGATCGTAGTTGTCCTTATGTCAAATTGACAGTGATTTTTTTACGCAAGACCTATATATCATTGTCCTATACTCCTGCAATGCTTTTAAGAGCGGAAAATTGTGCAAAAGCTATTGGCCTTGTTGAAGATGGACGTAATTATGAATATGTTGCAAGAATACTTCATGTTCATCGTTCTACCATCAAGAGTAGTCGAACGTTTCAGACAGACTGGCGAAAATAAGCGAAGGGCAGGATGTGGCAGAAAACGAAAAACTACTGCTACTGATGACAGATTTCTTCACGTTAAAACTCTGCGGGATCGTCACCTAACATAAGTGCAGTCAAGAAATCAACTCCAGGAGGTTCGAGGTAAGTATGGACAGTTCGCCGAAGATTGCAGGATTTTGGTTTGAAAGCTTGCAGACGATGGTTCCTTGACGGCCCACCGATATATTGATGGGATTTTAAATAATCACGTTGTACCTTTCAGTGGATATATCGGCGATGGTTTAATCCCAATGCAGAATAGTGCACGGCCACATAAAACAATACCTACCTCGCGGAAGTTGAAATTAGCAAACAACTGGCCAGCATGTTCACCTGATCTCAACCCAATAGAGCATGTATGGGACATGCTTGGTAGACGAGTAGTAAATGAGCTAGGAGAGCACGGCCTCATTTCGACCACTTTTTCCATGTGAATCTCCATAAGAAAAGTTAAGGTCAAAAATACCGAAAATGGTCGTCAGCCTCGAAGTCGGCGACCGGTCTAACCAAAAGTCGAGCATCAATCAACCGCAAAGTGAGATACAATAACAAGACGAAGAAAACATGCTACAGGGCGAATAAAAAATCGTGAGTCAAATGAAAACAGGGTGATTCCAAAAACCTTTATCATACAGACTGGAGAAAAAATTCTGAAACCAACCCATGAGTTCAAATCGAAACTTACCATTTCGATAAATTCAAGGTCATCTAAACCATGTGATCAGCCCAAAAAAATCGCAGAATGTGAAGTCAGAAAGCATGGAACGTTAGAACTATACCTGCAACCGCAGCAGTCAAAACGCCCATCAATAACAAATTGTTATTCACTTAATTATTATCAGGACTATTTATTATAGCTAACACAGGATGTAGAAATTAAACTCATATTCCATCATTATAACAGAACAATTCTCATCTTTCATCATTCCTAGAACCTCCTTGTACACCTGAGGAATTCCATGAATATTATCTTCAGTCAGACGTATCGAAGTGGGTGTGGCAATCTCGCCTCATAACTTCATACGGATTTTTATGGAGCTCATAGATGAGGGAGCCTGTGTCGGTGTAGCAAGCAGAACAATCATTACCAAATTCTTTCACCATATAATCGTAACGGAAACCATATATAGTAGTTTTGGCTAAATCGAGAATAACTTGACCAACGTAAATGGGCTTATTGAGATATACTTCAAGTTTTTTCAGCTCTACAGCAACTAAATTCTCGTTGAATATAGTACAGTTCTTGAATTCTGGCTTTAAAGTCCATGCTTCAGCGCCATATCTTCTTTTCCATTTCGTTAGAAGCTCAACGTTAATTCTCTTCCGGATGTTTTCCATAGGCTTCCCAAAGACAGCGTTATTCATCTTGAATACATTTTTCTCGAATTCATTTTTAGTAGCCTTTCTCAAACTCATATTCAGATCAATATAAGATTTGGGCCATGTAGATTGCTGAAATTTGAGCACACGATGAATTTTGGTCAGGACCAACCCATGCTCCAGCGCTTGTTTGAGGGCTCAGTAGTGGATGAAGTACTTCTTCTTATTATTCAGCTTTGCCATCATCTTGGTGGGTTGAGAAGATCTCGTCGGAGGTTTCATAGTTTTTGGATTCATGTGTCCTGAGCAGAAAGATAGGTTTTTGTGGGAATCATGAAGGCGTCGTGGGTATTCTAGGTCAACTTCTAAAATGTATCGTTCTAAAGCAGCATCAGCAACGGTTGTAACATCATGATTAGTGTCGGCCCATTCAAATCCTCCATATGGCAATGCATGAGACATAGCCCAACCGTACTGGTTGTTTACGTCAAAGTACATTAAATATGAGTCAGGCTTTGATGAATCATATGAAGGCATCATGAACTTGTTGTTTGCCTTAGCTCTTCGTTTCGAACAAATTTGGCTGAGACCTCCACGAATTTCTCGTTCAACAAACAGAAACATATCCACATCCGTAAGCAGCTCCAGCTCTTGGCCGGTTTAATACAACATAGCATCCCAAGTGAATGGGCGTGTACACCTTAGTAGAACTTTTAACTCAAACCATGTTTTTAATGATCCTTTTTTACATAAAAGATGATTGACGACATAATTCGATCGAAAAATTAACTGGAATGTTTCATTTTTGGACATGAATAATAGTGCCTTCTGAAAACGGACCCTATTATGACGTAGAAACCTCTTCTCGCCATAGTTAAAAGAAAATACCAAACGCCCGACGGAGAATGAGGCAACTGATGTATTAATTCTTTCAATTGTGATCTCGCGCTAATTCACTCTGTCATAAATCATGTATCATTCATCTCTGTCTGGAATAGTCTTGTTTCAGTATTAGGGTTTTGACGTCACATCGTCGCCTCGTTTTCAGAGGTCCGAAAATTCGGGGATTTCAATAATTTTTTATAAAACGTAGGGAGCTCACAGCAAGAAACGGTTTGCGGTGGTGAGCTAGTTTGGGTGAGTTCTATCGAATTATGAAATGAAAATGTTTCGTGATATAAGCCCATTCTGGTAGGGTGTAATAGTGTGCAGGGTCAAGATTGTAAGTTCTGAAGCAGTTGGTTCGGAATTTTTCGAAAACATCGGTCAACAACATGATGTCAGTCTTCATTTAGATGTCAACATATTGTCCCAAGTCTTGACAGCTGAATTTTGACCATACCAGCTTGGCTCTCGGATAATGTCTGCGTGGACAGGGTTTTTCGTTCAGTTTGTTGAAGAAAGCATCAATTGGTGGTAGCTGCGTCTCGTTGAAGCGTTGAAACGAGTCGATGTAGTCATACGGCATCACGCCTTTCTTAGTTAGAAGCTGGAGCTGATCTTCGGTGATGTTAGAGAATTGAGACATCAAGTTCGGAAATTCGGTTAAATATGATGCCAACATATCCAGAGAAGAATTCATAAATCGAAAGCTGTCGATGAAGCGGAAGCCTATTCGTGAATCTTCATCGTATTTGGCGAAGAAAATATATTTTTCTTTGGTGATTGAAATTTGCATCATATCCACTCAGATTGTGGAACACAACAGGCACCACATGGCTGTTCTGATACCGAATATTACAGCTTTCATCCGCTGGACCTCTATAATTTTTTTCCAAGATGAGATGCGTATGGTTGCGAACTTTCTTATCATCATGTCCAAAAGATTGTTTACAAATGTGGCAGTATTCTGCTTCCTGCTCAGCGGTCATGTCGATGTTGTATGGACATAAAAACACCGTAGACATATCCTCAGCCAACTGGTTGAGCCCATCAGCGAACCACGCCATACAGTCCTGCCCTCGGTATGAGCGATAAAAGGAAAGAGAATCGTCATATGAACATTTCATAAAGTATCCTACGGCAGCTGGAACGTGGAGCTGAGGCTTCTTAGAATCATCGGTTTTTTATCAAAACAGACTCCAAATCAGCATATACCATGAATGGAGCTTTCTCTTAGTTTTTATGGTTCTTGAATTTCAGAATATTCTTGCTCTCCTCCGGCATTCTGATTGCAGTATCATTCTTACGCAATTCTCAACATGTTTATAGAGTTTTTCGGCGATGCGGAAGTAATGGAGACAGCGGTCGCAGAAGAATTTACGTCCATTATGATCGCTCAGCTGAGAAGATAGCAGTCTGGACAGATCCTTTATCCAACAATAGTAGTACTTTTCGCAAGCATCTTTTTCATGGAAGTGTTGATCCTGGATGAGTTGAAGATTGGTATGTCTGTCATTATTTTCCTTCGTCAAGTATGTGAAAAGAGTCTGCAAGTTTTTGGATTTCTTCTGTAGGATATAGAGATTTATTGATACGTCATTTTGTTTTTCAAAGCGAGGAATCTGCTTGACTGTCATGGGAAACTGAATGCCCTTGAGATTCAAGACAGTAGACGGATGAGTATACGAGAATGTTCGATCACTATTTTTTCAATCAGCAGGATACAAAGCAGATGTTACCCCCCAAGCAAAACATAATTCATCTTCGTTTTTGACGTTGATACAAGCTTGTTTCCGCTTCATCTGAGTGGGTAATTCAAGGTAGGATGATCCAAGTTGAGGAGTAAACTTGTTGATGTTCACTCCCAGATTAATAATGTTCTTTAGCGCCCAGCATGAATCTCTTTCCTGGAATTCCTCTAACTCGACAAGAATAGGTCTTAGGATTTTATCGTTGAACCACACATTCAAATCGGTATCCTTGTAGATAGGAGAGTTCGAAGTAGTATATAAAGTACTTGTACTCCCTAAGCACTCTTCCTTCACAATTTCAAAATCTCCGCAGAAAACTGAATTGACCTTGACTGCAACATCTTTCCTGAGAGCGTTCTGAATACGTATTCTGAATAGAGCTCGGCAATCAGTCAAAAAGGCTGCAAGATCCTTTTGCATTAAGATTGAGATTATTCCAGTCCGAATCCTGTTATTGAAAGCAGACAGCGAATCTGCCCAGCGAACTGTATCCCATGCAGTTTCCTTTCTTGATATAAGTCCAGATCCCGTTTTCTGAAGTATTTCAAACTGGTTTCGGAACGATTTCAGATTCCTCAGGCAAGCTTCCAAGTGTTGCTTCTCCCCAAAATTTTCGAATTTCCTCGAAGCATTATTCAAACGCTTGCAGCCTTCTGACATTCGCGAAGACCTTCTTAAACTCGATTCTCATCATATGAGGATGTTTGGAAGCCGAGAAGAGTAGCTATATGCTTAACCAGCCCAGCAAACAGTGACATAATTCTCTGTGATAACAAAACGATTTGGTAAGCAAATTAACGTATTCATGAAACAGATCCAACTCTTTATATATGAAAGATAGAAGAAAGTGTGGGTAGGATGTAAGGAAAAGCGAAATCGCTGGTAGAGAATCAAATGATAAAAGCAGAAATATTCGCCTTGTATTCAACCTCCTAGCTGAGACAGAAAGTTGAACTCAACCTCAGTTCTCGTATCTATATTGGCGCTCGATAAATCGGATGAGCTCAGAAGACACGACTGGTCAATAGGGGCGGCTGCAATAGAATGAGATCATGATAAATGGTGGAACCGTATATGTTATCGCTTTAGGATATTCTAATGCACATCTCACTACCTGAAATTCCATGATGTACTGTACCAGCTGAGATTATCAGTTCATTTGATGAAATGATGTGGAAGGCCCTCCCAAAATCGAATGACTTCACACCAACAAAGTATCGATATCTTTATTCAACCCCAGAGAAATAAGAAAGCGCAATTGCTAAATGAAGCAGTAATTCATAGCTGTATATTGAACCCATGGAATTTAAAGGCGCAACACATACACTTGAGGTAGATTTCTCAAAGGAAATACGGTTCTTTGATTGCCTTCAGGCAAAATTTTCCCCTGAACATGTTATAAGGAACAAACGAACAACACTATTTATACCTGGCTTTACCACGGCAACAACCTCCTTTGCAGAGAGGGATTATTGTCACCAAAGCCGGTACACTCCCCTCGCAAGGGTACCTGACGTGTTTTCGTGCGGGAAAAGTCGACCGTTTCCTTATACTATCGTACAATATATTCCTGAGAATGATCGATGTACATCTCACTACCTGAAATACCATGATGTACTATATATACCAGCTAGAATTACCAATTTATTTATTGCTCAACACTTCCTCAGAATCCAAAGAATACTATTATTTCCGAAATATTCACATTTATTCACGATTTCGTTAACAATTCGGAATCACATCAATTTCAAATTTGATTGTCTTGACAAATAATCACCCCTAACACCGCTAGTTACCACAACAAATGTATATTCAATACAAAATAACATTATTATGATAAGACGCGAAATAATTCAGTTCATTGAAAAAAAATGATTCACAAGTATATGTTTTTCGTACAAAGTCCGAAAGAAATCAAAATCGCCTTATTACCAAAATATTTGAAATTTCATTATTTTCCTAAAATTTTCTTGTCCCGATATTCATATTTTCTCAAATATCTCGACAACGGCACAAAATATCGAAAATCTATATCGAAAAATACCCCAACACCCCTGTCGACTTCCGCAACGGCCTACCACATGGGAAAATTTCGGAGAAACGAAAAACAAAAAAATTAGTATGACGTCATGATTCGAAATAATTCTAAGTTTATTAAAAAAAAGGTTAGTGACAAGAGTATGTTTTTCATACGGAATTCGATAGAATGCAAGTCGACTAACGAAAAAGTCACTATACATTATACACGTCATACTATTTTTTTTGTTTTTCGTGATACGGTGTTCGGACTTTCTCCATGTGGTAGGCCGTGTGACAGTCGACAGGAGTGTTGGGGTATTTTTCGATTTAGATTTTCGATATTTTGTGCGTGAATGTCAATTTATCATACATTTAAGAAACATTTTTTATACTTAGTACCTGCAACGGTTGTGTCTAAATTTATCTCGATATTCAAAATGAGTGTGCGTATGAAGAGTTTTTGTTATTATTTTACACACATAGAACTATACCAAAAGTAAAAACTTGCAAACTAACAGTGATTCATTCATTCACAGGAAGTGCTTCGACAGAGCCCCATGTGATCAAGGAAACATCAGATAGGTACATAATACCTGTCAGAAAAAAAAAACTAGATCACTGACCAGCAAGACTGTGTTGAAAATGGATAAACTTTACTGTGCTGCTAAAAATGCACGCGCTGATAAAACGCAACCCGAGAAAGTCTTCCAATGCAATTTGTGCCTGAGAAAGTTCACTATAAAATCAAGATTGACTGAACACTATAAAATACACACTGGCGAAAAACCGTTTGAATGTGATACTTGCTCAAAGAAATTCAGCAAAAAGGACACTTTGAATAGACACATCAGAGTGCACTCCCAAGAAAAACCCTTCGAGTGTGCCATGTGCCATAAGAAATTCAACGAGAAAAAGGACCTGATCAGTCACCTGAGAACACATACTGGCGAGAAACCGTTCGAATGTTACGTT